TTGGTAGTTTTTTTTGTTTTTGTTTTTGTTTTTTTTCTTTTTTAAGTTACTAAAAAAGTGCCTGTTGGTCTCAGTGCAAGGTCTGGAGAAGTAGACAAAGAAGGCATCAGATTGCATTGTTCTAATTTCCTTTGGTCACTAAGCTTCTCCCTATGGCCTCCTGATCTTTGGTCCTGGGTATGTCATCTTTCATGAGTGATTTTTTTTTTTTTTTTTTTTTAAGTCTTCTGAGAACTTCCTGAATCAGGAGAACTGTCCTTGAAGCCTTCTTATGAATGCTTTGAGATGGATCCCTTGGGTCCCTTTACTGACTCTGGCTCCTATCTCCTGCTTCTTTAGACTTTGCTGGTAAAGGTCATGACTGGGAACCTCCTCAGCAATCTGTCGTTGAGTCTTGGAGTCACCGTGTTTAGCCTTATGGAGAGCAGGCAAAGCCCAGCAATTTGTATATCTCTTGGGTGATCGCTAACCAAGGACTGTCTGATGCAGGGCTACAATGACCCAGATCCCTTGGTTAGAGACAAGGCCAGGACTTTACCTAACTGACCTATAATTATTTCCCTTGTTCATCCTGCTTCCTGCATCCTTTACTAGTCTCTCCCAGGATGCAATTGTGAATCCATCACTTGGCTAAATGTCAACTTCTTTGAGAGCCCAAACTGAGACAGACCTTCTCTCCTGAATCAAGCTCTCCTCTTTCCTTCAAAAGACTCTAGAATCAAATAGGGATACTCCTGTCTAGATGATAGATGAGGGAAACTTCGATTCCTCACTCAGATTTTATAGAAAGAATATTAGTTAACATTTATGTGTTTTATTCTTTGCATAGTTGTAGGCATATATCCTGAAGAGGATGATAAAGGACGTTTTTGGCAATGCAAAATTCAGGGCTAACTGGGCAGAAAATCCAAGAAATAAATGCAGCCATTCGTTGAATGCCTATAGGATTCCACGTGATTTGCAAGGTGCATATATATCAATTCCTTTCATCCCCATGATTAACCTAGGAAGTCAGTAAAGCCCCTGCCCTAAAGATGGGGAAACGGAGGCATAGAGCATTTCAGTACCTTGCATGATCATACCGCTAATAAGTGGCCCTCCCCACTTCAGAAACAAGAATTCACCAAGGTTGGGGGAGCTTCTGAACCCCTTCTGGGGGTTGAATTATTCAGAATAATTCAAGATTGATATCTAGGAACAAATTTCACCTCCCACAAACTGACATTTAACACAGACAAGACTTCCGGGTAGAGTGAATGTGACTGAGACCAGTGCATTGTCCCCACTGAGCAGAGGAAACTGTTTTCCTGCTTCTCGCCTTGCCATCTTCCCTGGTAAACATGGGGTGGGCAGGGGTGGGGGTGAAGGTGGGGACTGTCATTCACTGTTGCTCTAAGAACAAAGCCTGCCTGACATTGCAGAGAGAGCACTGGGAAGCATTTCAAAGCTCCACTGGAACTAGACAACCTTTCAATCCATTTATCAAAGTGTCTGCAGTTCCCGTTTCAAGGTAGATGAAGCAATAATAAATTTGCGAAGAAAGTTAATCTGTGTCCAAAGCATTTTAGTAAATTAAAAAGGGGGGGTGCTGGCTGGAAGGGGGATATATTGGTGCTTGCCAACTCCTATTTGACTTACTGTCTCCTTAATAAGTCCTCTCTGGTCTTGTGTTTTTGGATGGAATAATCCGTCGGTTAATCATTTTCCGGAAGCAGGAAAATGCACTTTAGCTAATGCAATCCTCCTTTCTTTCAGAGTCCTAATTATTTAAAAAGGCATCCCAATCCATAACCCTACTGCCAACCAAGAAAACCTTTCCCACCAGCCATCTTCCTTTATTTCCCCCAGAAAATTTCAGCACACGCCCCTTACCCTCTCACTGTGCTCCAGCCTCATACCTTATATCTAATGTTTTTTTAAAAAAGTTCCCTTTCCCTGGTTATTTCTGAACATTTTCCCTCAGGAAGGGCAAGGCACTAAACCCCCAGCAAGCAATTGGCCGGAACTAGGCTCTTGGGCACTACGGATAGATTTTGTTATTTTTACTTAAGTGTCAGCTGAAAATGGTGGCTCTTGTGGCTCTCATGGGTGGTGCTTAGCAATAGCTCCATGCTCTGGCATCACACTGAGATAAACACACTATTAGGAGCCCTCACAAAGGCCCCAAGGTAATTGTGAAGGGACAGTTACCGAAAATGAAGCACCCAGCCCTGAACCCTCCTCCACGCCCCATCAGTAACACCATTAAAGCTGTCAGTTTGTCAGCCCACTGGAGGTATTTATGAAATCAATATACAATCCTGCAGATGGATGGCAGTGGTATTGTTAGCTGGAGAACAGAGGCTCAATGGAAAATAAAATTAATAAAATTTACAAGCAGATTGTCATGGGGAACAGATAAATTCCCTACAATCCACTGTTTTCCTCGGTTACAGCAGGAGGAAAGCCATGGCAAGGAGGTGGAAAGAAAGCTGTGCTTTTAAATGGGGTCCCTTAAACTGGGAGCAAGACTGGGTGTATTTCCAGCAAGAAAGTAGTGACCAGAAACCCGAGAGGCTGCCCCGTGCAGTTGCAGGGTTTTGCCTGTGTGATGGCTTTTGTGGAACGTCTCTCAGGAGGTGGGCCAGATTTTTCAGCTAAAATGCTGCTCTCCTCTTTTCAGCCCACCATATGGCAAGTTGGAACCTTTATACAATTGTTATTTCTTCAGGATGTTTGAGGCTACATGTCAACTCATTAAACTCAAAGGCTACATTAAACTCAAAGGGTTAATGCATTATGGGAGTAGGTGCCCCTTCACCTGGCTTCCAGACATGGTTAGAGCTGACAGTCCAGACCTCTCTCCTGTTTGTTTCCCCTGCCCCTGATTTTGATCATTCCCCTTGGCTGGCACAGCGGCCCAAGCTGTTTCCCAGAGTGGCCAAAGATAGCGGCCAAGCCTGGGAGGATAGTGGGCAGGGGCTCACTGTCCTGGAGACCAGCCTTCACCTGGCAGAAAAGACTAGACCCATTGTGGTTGCTGGAGCCTTGAGTACAGCCCAGATGCCTGGTGGAAATTGCATTAGTCAGATGACAGGACCTGCACCCCCTTCCCCTGGAGTCTGATGGAGAGCAAAGGAGTGACCTTGGTGAACCTGCCTGACCTCTGCTGTCACCATAGGCTTTGTTCGGTGCCCCGACTCCAGGCTGGAGCCCTGCTCATTGAATCAGGCCTGGCCGGGGGAGCCTGCAGTGGGGCTCCTTGTGCATCTAAATTTATTTACACCGTTGCAGACAGAGGAAACTGGATTTGAGATGGGGAATACCCTGTTATTCAGCCCCAGAAGCCACTGGTAGTTATATCTGCACCCTACCCCAACTCTGAGCCTTGCGTTGGGGCTTAACAGTGGCCCCAGACAATCCCCAAGTGTCTGAAACTCCAGTCACCCACTCAGAGTGTGGTAGCTCCTCTCAGCAGGTGAGAGCAGGAAAGTGATGCCTCTCTTCTGCTTTCTGTTTTTCCTCCTGCCCCTTCACAAAATGTTAATTTAGATGGCCTAAGTTTCAGTGAAGGATGGTTGTCTGACCTCTCTTTATTTGGAATCCTCTTTAGCTTTTGATTAGGTTCCCGTGGAAACCTAAGTGTAGAAGTGTCCATTGGTATAATCTCCCTCTAGGACCACTCAGCAGTTAAAGACGTTTACCCTGTGACCCAGCACATGCTCCTTATGGGACTTTATACCAAGGAAGTGGCCGAACAATTGTCCCAAAAATGTCTGGGGAGGAAAACCCATCCTCATGTTTCCTTAAATGGCAAATACCCAACAATGTGGGATCGCATAGCCCTCTATACAATTGGATGATATACAGTGATTAAAAATGTTGGCATACATGTACTGTTAATGACATGAACAGATGTTCTCAATATAATAAGTGAAAAAAGAGTTTATGACTGACTATATACTATGAGATCATATTGTGAAATTTATACATATTGCTCCTAATTGGTAACAGTGGTTATGGTCTGGGTAAATGATTTTGTACCTTAGTATCTAAAAGTTTTTGTGTTATTTTCAAAATAATTGAGATATATATCCATATCTATAGATACATGTCCATATGATTGATATGTATGTATATGTTTGTGTGTATGTGTGTAGAGACATGCAGTTATGACTGATTGCTCACTGAAATTCCAAGCAAGCTTGAGGTATGAATGAAAACAAGTGTATGTGTTTGTTTAGGGGGAAAAGGGGGAAACAAAAAGGAAAAAAAGCTGCATAGGTCTTAGGAAAGAAAACTGAGGCTTTGGGGATTCTTAAAGAGGACCCTGGTATGAGACCCGGGTTTGAGCCAGCTTCAAGACCTGACACTTTGTCCCTTACCTTTCCTCCTCAAAGCAACACATTAGCACCCTTAATGCTAGATGGGGTGCCCATGGGACCCCCATTTTGGACAGGTTTGTGCAACTGCAATTTGAATTCACCATGGCTGTCACTTAGCTGATCTAGGAGGCCCCCAGGGTGTCTGGGTCTCTAGAATAAACAGAGATGGTCATCCCCCATCAGAAAATCAGGGTTGCCAGGTTCCCTTCCAAACCCAAATGACAAAGGCAGAGAGTCCCTGAGAGATGGGAGACTGAGTGCTGTTGACCCTGAAGTGGGGGAGGGACGGCCTGGGGAAGGGGGGCCAGGGGTCTCTCTGGGAGGTGGCAAAACAGAATTGGGTGCGGTCTGTGTGCAACAAATAACCCAGCGTCTTGGCTCGTGGCCTGGAGGTGCGAGACCACCCACAGAGCCCGCCCTGGAGGCGAGCTGCTCCCGCCTGGTAACCATTTCAGCAAAGGCCATCACTAGAGGAACAATGTGAAGGCTCATAGCAGCCTGGGGCCTGAGACTAAACAGTGCCTCCAACACTCCTGACCGCAGAGGCAGCCTGTGAGAGGTTTTGTTGTCATAATGAGATGCAGATAAAGCCGGGCCTTGGTCGTTAATGCATGTGCCTCTTCTCTTCTTGTTTAGAGATCTGAGCGAAAACCAGATCCTAGGGATCCCGAGGAAGGCATTCCGTGGCATCACCAACGTGAAGAACTTGTAAGTGATGTTTTTTTGGTTTGTTTTTTTTTGGTTTGTTTTTTTTTTTTTTTTTTTGCTTCTCTACGGATGTGGCTTTCTGGCCAGAACAGGGGTGAGGGACGGGACAGGAAGGTGGTGTCACTGTGCTATGTGCTGCCTTGGTGCAGACGCCTTTGAGACAGATTGAGGGATGTGCCTGAGTGGTTTCCAGGGAACATGCATCAAGTGCCACAACAGCTCCACAGAGTCCTGTTCCTCTCTGGTTTTTCAGCCCCAAGTATGAGCACTAGAGTCCCGGACCTGGGTCAGAGCTTGGCCTACAGTAACTCTATGGCCTGGGGCTCTATTCAGCTCTTCCCAGGGTCATGATCTTCTGCAAAATGGGGATGATATTCTGGTAGGGGTGTTGATGCCAATGAGAAAGTGTGCTTAGTACATAGTAAGTGTTCCATAAGTGGGAGCCTTGATGATCATGACCATGATCCTGATGGTAAAGGGGTGGCTGTTACTAATAAGATATTGGAGAGGGCATTGGCACTTGTGTCCCAGGCTGGTGGGGAGACATAGCCAGATCCACTCACTGCACTAGGTGCTTGGTTTTGGGAGGTGTTTTTAGTTTTATTTTGAAGTAATTATTGATTCACAGGAAGTTTCAAAAATACTAGATAGGTCCATGTGCCCTTTTACCCCAGTTTCCTCCCAATGGTAACATCTTACATAACAATATGATCTCAAAACCAGGAAACTGACATCAGTACAATCCACAGACCTTACTCTTCAGATTTCAGAGTATAACACACACTCATTTGTGTGTGTACATGCACATGCAGTTCTGTGTAATTTTATCACATGCTGATTCTTGTGCCCATTGATAGAGTCAGTGCAGAACTATTCCATCACTACATTTTTTTAACCTGCCAAATAACCCTTGCCATTTTTTGTCTGGTCTCCACTGTTTGCTGTTTAACAGTGAATCCTGGACCATTACTTTCACAAGGAGTGTGCCTTTCAAGTTCTCCACCCATACCACTGTGTCCATGTGTTTAGAGCATGTGTTGGGAGATGGTTTGTCTGGGCAGGCATTTCTGTCCACTGGCCTCCTACGCAGGCTCACATTCAACTTGAGAAGTCTTGGAGGAGGTTTCTTTAAAACTATTTTAGCTATCAGCTTTCCTTATAAGGACTGTAGGGATATTAGTGTCCTGGGATGCTGATGATGGCTTCCAGATACAGGCTACCTGCTTCCCCTGTCCCTGAGAACTTACCGAAAAGCCTTTGGTGTTTAACATGCAAAGTACACAAGAGGGCAGAGGCATCTCAAGCTGAAGGAAGCCTAGGGCAGAGAGGACTTTGCAAGGGGATCCCACATAGGAAACTTCCCACTGCTTCATCTGGGGGCATTTGCCCAGAAGCAGGAGAGAGCAGGGTGGAGCAGACAAAGCCATGGAGAATGTGACTCAACATTGTGCATATAAACCAAAATTAAGAGGTTGTGCTAATTAGCATCCCAGAAAGGCAAGGCAAGAGAGGAACTTAGAGATCCTCTAAAACCCCACAAGTCAACAGTGAGAAAATTGAAGACCAGGAAAGGGCAGTGACTAACTCAAGGTCAATAAGGTTCATGATGGTTGAACCCCAGATTAACATTTTACATATGTAAAGTGGTATATCTGTTCTATCTCATGGCTCTGATTTTAAATGGGCCAGTTAACAACAACAACAACAACAAAAACATTGCAGTGATGTGTAAGCAGGGCTGTGTAATTACCAACTTCATTTTTGGTTCTCAAGAAAGTGATTAAATCTAATAGTGGTCCACGATAGTTGTTGAATCTGGGGGTTGTTGTTGTTTTCCTGTAATATGTCTAACTTCACAAAGGCCTCAGGAGCTCAAAGATTCAAGATTCTGCAGACACAGATTCCTGAATCACTCAGGAACTACTGTCAGACCCTCCTTCTCCAGGCCATGCATATATTTGTTACTCGAAGGCCTGAACTCAGCTCTGATCTTCTCTTTTATTTCTACCCAGTGTCAGCATGTGGTCCTGGGGTGAGAGGAGGGGCAAATAAACCCACTGCTCAAAGGATGAATTAGCCAACAGAACTAAGTGTGTGTGTGGGGGGGGGGGTGTCGATTACTTTATACTTCTAATCAATTTCATCAAGATACATTTATTGGGCAGAACCTATAAGACCCAAAAGTATAATTCATATTCTCAGGTGGCTTATGGTAAAACTAGGGACAAGAAACACATGTGTACAAGAGAGTTTTTAGTGATTTAACATTCCACATGAAAATTGGCAAATGGGGGGAGAGGCACCTGGGTGGCTCCGTCAGTTAAGCATCCAACTCTTGATTTCAGCTCAGGCCATGATCTCAGAGTCGTGGAATTGAGCCCTGCGTCGGGCTCTGCACTGAGTTGGAGCCTTCTTGAGATTCTCTTTCTTTCCTGTGCCACTCTCCCCTACTCATGCATGCTTGCTCTCTCTCTAAAATAAAAATTAAAAGGGTACCTGGGTAGCTTATTTGGTTAAACATCTGACTTTGGCACAGGTCATGATCTCACAGTTGGTGGGTTCAAGCCCTGTATTGGGCTCTGTGCTGACAGCTCAAAGCCTGGAACCTGCTTTGGATTCTGTGTCTCCCTCTCTCTGCACCCTCCACCCCCACCGCTTGTGCTCTGTCTCTCTCTGTCTCTCAAAAAATGAATAAATGTTAAAAAATATTTTAATAAAAACATTAAAATTTAAAAAAGAAAAAGAAAATTGGCAAATGAGTGGCCATGATGCATAGTAAAGGCTTGAGAGCTCAGAGAAGAAAAATGGCTTTAGGGAGTCTAGCCTAAAGGTTAGAAACATAGCTTTGGCAACCTGAAAGATCTAGGTCTGATTTTCAGCTATTGTGCATAATGAGTCTATGAACTCAGGCATATTACTTGATGCTTCTGAGCCTAGATTTCCTCACTGTAGGATGAGGATAAGAATTGTACTTAACCTCCTAGGGTTTTTGTGAAAGTTAATAAAATAATGAGTATGAATAACTTAGTACTATGCTTGGCACATGAGACATAAAGTTCTAGCTACTGTTACTGCTGCATTTCTTTGTTGCTGTTATAATTGTAAAGACTTTACCTGGGCCTAAATGATGATTGGAATTCACAAAGTCAACAAGGCAAATAGTATGTGCAAATACAGAGGTAAACCTGTATAAGGTGTATTTCAAGGACACAGGCAGAGCCATCTTGTGGAGGTGCAGGATTGTGAGGCAGAATAACAGGTGATAAGATCAGGAAGAGTTGGCAAGCCTTGCCTGAAAGGTATATGGATTTTAGATATAGGTACTGAGAATGTAGATGGCTTCCAACCCAGGAAAAGTCATGATGAAAATATTTATTGTGGAAGAGGAGCCTAGGATGGGAAGAGGTGGAAAAAGGAAAGGCTGGGGGCAGGAGATGAGGCTGAGTCCAATGTAAGGGGTCAGGGCTCATGCTTGTAAAAGAGAGCAGTCAGAAGTGAAGGAGGAACCAAAGATGCCAATAGGGGCCAAGTCAACAGAAATGGGCAATCAGTGAGGTATTAGTGGCTGGGGGAAAAAAACTAGAAAATGATGAGTTTCAAGCTTAGATGATACAAGGAATGATAGCAAAGCTCCATAGTCATTCATTGTTGCAGCCATCAAAATGTTTTTTGAACCTACTAAATGCCAACTCTGGGGGAAGCCATAGGAAGTAAGATACAGAGATCTGTGAGATTCTTAGAGCTTCCGGTCCACGAAGACTGAAAGGCCAGGAGGAAGAGCCAGACATGAAGATCATAAGTTGGCTGTGAAGTGATGTCAAGTCCTTCCACGGGCAGTGTGGATGGAGCATCTTCTGTGTGCTTGGAAATTGGTGAGCCTGACATCCCATCCTCTTGACCCTGCTGGTGAAATGACTTTGGTCTTTGGGCCACAACCATGTCTACAGTCCCCATCTTCCATGGTTTTAATAAGAGGGATATAGGTGAAATAATCTTACAGCCTTAAGAGAAAATATCATGTGGGTAATTGGAGATATAGGAGCTGAGCTGAAGAGCAAGTTCAAGGAGGGGAAGCATCTGCCTAGAGGTGATAATTGAAGTTATACATTTAAATATGCATTGGTACATGTAAAATAGAAGATGCTTTGCAGAAATTAAGTTTGTATCAAACCTATTAAGGAAACACTCCTCCTCCTACCAGACCTCAATTACCCACATGTAGATAGTCTCTCTTGTGACAAATTTTAAATCTCAGGAATGTACATCCCTGTCATCAGTCTGTTTGAGAACCACCTCCCATACCCCTGTCCTCAGCCTTCTCTACTGCCTTGTGTGAGCTCAGGGAATATAACACTGTTCTATTCCTTAAGTAACATAGGAATAGAAGATAAATTACTGGAATATCAGGCTACAAAGTGACAATAATTGGGCCTAACCATGATACCATATGTTAATAATAGAAAGGGGGTGCCTAGGAGGTTCAGTCAGTTAAGCATCCAACTTCGGTTCAGGTCATGATCTCACGGTTTGTGAGTTTCAGCCCCGTGTCGGGCTCTGGGCTGACAGCTCAGCGCCTCGAGCCCACTTTGGATTCTGTGCCTCCCTTTCTCTCTGCTCCTCCCCTGTCTCACACTCTGTTTCTCTCTCCTTCAAAAATAAATAAACATTTAAAAAAGAGAGAGAAGAGAAAGTCAAGGATTATCTACTTTTTTTTTTTATAATTTTGTAGTTTTGACATGGATTTTCTTTGCTTGTCCTGACATTACCCTTCAAGAAGGAAGAAACTGTGATACACCCATTTTCCAGATGATAAGATTAAGTTTTGATCAGTGTGTCATTTGGCAAAAGTCAGCAGACAACAGTTGGGCCTAGGCCTCCCCACCTACCCTATCCTTAGTAACAGACCCAACCAGGTTTTAGACACTGTCCATAGACCTTTCTGTCTACTCAGATTCCTCTCCCCTCAGCCATGCTAGCAACAGGAAGAAAGGAAAAGTAAC